TCAGCATAGCTGTGTGTGTGTGTGTTTGTGTGTGTGTGTGTGTGTGTGTGTGTGTGTGTGTGTGTGTGTGTGTGTGTGTGTGTGTGTGTGTGTGTGTGTGATCCAATAATCATGATGTGTTCCTCATTTAACAGGATATCCTTATTCCCAACACTACACCCTACATTGTGTGTGTGTGTGTAACACTCCCATATTTACCCACAAAGGGGTGGCCACTGGCAACACAGAGCACTTTGTGATACAGACACACCATTACAAACAGAGTTATGACTGACGCACGCACAGACACACACACACACAAGTGGATAATATGAAAAAGTGCACAGACTGACAAAGGCCCCAGATCCTAAAACCCTCCAAGACAATATGGGTTGTAATAGTTTTGTGTGTCTCTATGTGGATCATTGTGGTAATTTCATTTTTGCGGTTGTTGCTTTTGTCTCTTTATGGTCATTTTGTGACACATGTTGCATTATGCTGCAAAAGTTTTCATCCCTTTGTTGCCATTTTTATTGTGTCTTTGTTCATGTTTTGCGTGTCTGTCTGTGCAGCCATTTAGCGTCTTTTCCTGTCCACTCCTTGTCTTTTTACCTGTTGTGCACCTCAGTGTCGTCACGTTGCATTTTGCTTTTGCATCTTTGTGGATGTTTTTAGTCTCTAGTCCTTATGTGTTTCTAAAAAGTCTCCTGGCATCTCTCTACGGTCATTTTTGCGTCTCTGGCTGTGCTGTACTTGTTGTGCATCTCTGTGTCGTCGCGTTGCCTGTCTTTGTAATTGCTTTTGCATCTTTCTGGCTGTTTTGTGTCTCTTTGTGGTAATTGTTCTCATCTTTGTAGAAACTTTTTGGTGTCTTTTGGTCTATTTGTGTCTTTGTGAGGCAATTTTTCATCTCTTTGTGGATGTATTGTGTCAATGTTTAGTCACTTGGCATTGCTTTACGACCGTTTAGTGAGTTGTGCTGCACCTGTTGTGCATCTTTGTGCCATCACGCTTTATCTCTGGATCATAGTTTTGCATCTTTCTGGCCATTTTATGTCTCTCTCTTTTTTTGACGAGGCCATTTTTCATTTCTTTGTCGAAATATTGTGCGTCTTTAAGGTTGTGCTGTATTTGTTGTGCATACCTGTGTTATCATGTTGCATCTATTTATATATTTATTGTCTTCGTGTGTCTTTATGGCTCATTTGTGTCTCTAATGTTGTGCTATACCTGTTGCACTAATCATTGTGAGTCATTCTGTGGTCATGCTGCATCTTTTTTAAATGTGTTTTTGCATCTTTGAGGTCGTTTTGTAGTAATTTTGTATCTTTCAGGTCAAGTTAATTCTTGATGAATCCATTTTTTATCTCATTGTGGGTGTATTGTGAGTCTCTATGGTTCTCATTGCACTTATGCATATCTGTATTGTCATGTTTCATCTTTCAAACAATGCATATCAGACACACACACACACACACACACACACACACACAMACACACACACACACACATGAGCACTCGGACCCCTGGACACTAACACACACACACTCACACACACACACGCGCGCACACACGCACACAGTATTAACTTTCTTTCTGCTAAACACTCAACGTCATATCATCGTATCATGGCAACTTTGCTCGATCCTGAAATAGACGCGGAGCAGTGGCGGCCAAAGTTCCGCGTAAATAACCAGACCCACACACACACACACACACACACACACACACACACACACACACACACACACACACACCTGTAGTTGTTGTTGTCCTCCCCAGGACAGAAGCAGCAGCAGAGCCAGCAGAAGTCGTCCCACCGCCTCCATGACCCCCACCCCCCGCCCCCTCCACCGAGCTCCGTGCGTCTCCGGGCTCCGAGCGAGTGACGCTATTCAACCGACAACAGAGGTCGAAGCCCCGCTACGTTTCCAGCGCCGCCGTCCATCAGCCACGGGCTCCGCAGCGGCCGCTTTCACGTCGTTACTCCCGCGCTGACAGCCGCTAAACCCGGTCACAGCAGAGCCAGCGGAGCCGCCGTGCCTCCATCACAACACCGCCGCCTCGGTTTTCCGTGTGTTTCCGTGTGTTTCCGTGTTTTTCCGTGTGTTTCCTTGTTGGACCAGTGACGTCGCCGCAAGACTGTCAGAGCCGCGATGAGGGCGGGGCCGGCTGAGTGACCGGCGGCCTCGGCCAATGAGCGCAGAGGTTGCGAAGAAAAAAAAATGGGGGGGGCGGGGCCTCGGAAAGGGCTGGAACCGAACACGCGGACAGAGACACGAGGACAGAGGACAATGTCTTTGTGTCACAGAAAGTGGTGGATGTCGTCATTGTGAGGCCACTGTGCACATTTCACTGGTGGAAACAACATCACGCTGTTCACCTCTGTTCACTTCACTCATCCACTCACTGTCACATTCACATGGAAGATCCTGTGAGTCATCACAGAGATACACTTTCTAATGACTGAGTTTCTTATTATTATCATAACTTAGTATCTCATAACTATAACTTAGTATCTTATTATTATAACTGAGTATCTTATTACTATTACTTAGTATCTCATTACTATAACTGAGTATCTTATTATTATAACTGAGTATCTCATTATTATAACTGAGTATCTTATTACTATAACTTAGTATCTTATTCTAATGAATTAGTATCTTATTCTAATGAATTAGTATATCATTATCTCACTTAAGACTGCCCATGAAACTATTAATGAGAAAATGGAGACTTAAAAAACAATGATTTGTCATTACCGCTCTGTGAATAATAAATACAACTTTATTTATCATGATGAAGAAATTGAATCTGAATTTCAGGCAACAAGACAAGAGACTCTTGTATGGAAACCCCCTATTTCCACAGTATTTCACTTGTTAATTGCAGTTCATCACGTCACAGTTTCACTCTGACACTATCAGAACAGCCTGATGACGAATTTCAAAGTAAAAGGAAAATAGATTTTTTTCCCCTCTAAATTCAAACTTATATTAAAAATAAACTACCTGTTTCCACAGACTAATTTCACCAGATAATGACAGTTACCCTTTGCACACATATTTTACATTTCCCCCTCCTATATTTGTTTGTACGGTAAAACAGAGATTGTGAGGGTATATAAAAAAAATGGCCTTTTGTAAAAGTACTCTGCAAATGACAAACTTTGAGAGGCTGTGTCATTACTTTGAGAACGTTTCTCGTTAAAATGGGATTTTTATTCTCTTCATCACAGTGGCGGAAATGGGTTTCCATAGAAGTGGGCTTCTATAAGAAGTACTAGTTTTGTTGATGTTAGGTAGGAACGGATGTTCGACTGTGTCCCACCCGGTAGGTTTTGGCCGGTGCACGCAGAAGTGTCTCTGCGGATGTTGACGGATTCACGTGTCGCGGTTCGTCTGTTGTAAAGTTGTCTCTCGTTTCGTTCAATCGTCGGACTCACGGTTTCTCCAGGATGTCCGCGTCTCTGCTGAGGAGAGGACTGGAGCTGCTCGGCAACGATATCAAAGGTCAGCTCGGCCTTTAGCTCGCGCACGTTAGCATCGTGTGCTCTCTTTCAAGCTGCTGATGCTAATTCAGTCAAAGAGATCATCCACATGCATCCAACAGAAGTTCAGCAACAATCAACCAAGTGTTCAAAGCTCATGAGACGGTGAAAAAACAACAAATGACACCGTTTGAACTTTAAATTTGAAATGAATATCACCATTTTATTATAGATGGTTCAACTCATCAACAGAATAGAAGGCTTTTATTGTCTTTGTCTTGTACAACATACAACGATGTAACGAAGAAATAAAGAATACATTGCACACATCAGATTGCACGGTCCTCAGTAGTTATTTCATTTTCTAGTCGAAAGCAGGAATATTTGACCTTGTTTAACTTTCCTGTCTCTCTCTCTCTGTGTCCTGTGCACCCTGCCAGATGTCAGCAAAGGGAAGAAGAAGAAGAGAAAGCAGCAGACCCCCAGCTCAGCCACCGTGATGGAGCTGGTGAGCACCAGGCGGCAGGGAGTCACCAAGCAGGTGAAGCGGCTGCAGGGCCGCCAGGGCGCCGGCAAGAGCAAAGCCACGGTCAAAAACAAGAGGATCAAGTCTGCAGTGGGTCCGTCTGCACACAGTCCTGCACCAACACCTGCACTGCTTTGTTACAATCAGAATCTTTTATGTGTAGAAAAGAAAAAGTCTCAGTTTCACATTATTCATAGTTTGTGTGGTTTAATAGTGGCCACCTGGTGTTTTGTATTCTATCACAGCATCTGTTGCACCATCTTTGTAATAAATTGCCTCGTTTCCTCCATTGTTTGTTACAGAGGAGTTCAGGAAGAAGCAGGGGAAGAGCCACATGAAGGCAAACCTCAAGTACTTTATGGGAACTGTCTGCAAAACAACAGATTCAGACACTTTGAAGGTAAGAACGGCATCGATCACGATCCACTTTCAACAAGATTCAGTTTAGATTCATATTATTTATATTGTGCAAAATCATAACATACATTAACTTAAGGCACTTTACAGAGTAAGGTTGAGATCTCACGATACTGTAGAGAGGAATCCGGCGGTTTCCACCTTTAGCAAGCACTTGTGCACCACATAGAGGAACAAGCTTTTAACAGAAACACTTTAAAAGCTCCAGCAGATCTGAACCTAGGATGGTTCACACTCTGCCACGACAGGTGGGACTGCGGGGGAAGAAATGGAGGGAGAGAGGAGAAAATGGGGATGGGTTTGAGAAGAGAGAAGAGCGACAGAGAGAGATGGACCAGGAACCGCAAGCACACATAGCCAACTACAATACTTTGCTTTTAAGTTCAATTGTAAGAGAGACATCAAAGTTTACTTCACAAATCTGTAAGGCTTCTTTGGAACACGATCATAAATGTATGGTTGTTTTTTAATATATTATTTGATTAAGTTTCCTTTACTTTATATTTGCTTCTGCTTCTCCTCACTTGTTTAATCAAATGAGTTTGACAATTGTTCCATTTCTCACTTAGATCCAGAATCACAATTTAGGTAGACAGTCAAGGAATCGCCCACAAAAACCTGCCAAGAAGCCCAAGGCAGCTGAGTCGTTGTTCACAGAGGAGGAGTTCCAGAAGTTCCAGAAGGAATACTTTGGCAGGACGGTCGAGGAGAAGAAATGAAACAAACACAAAGACACTGCAGCATGAGAAGAGACATCTGGGCCGCATTGTGTGGATCATAGTGGATTTCTGGACCAGGCTATGATCTGGAAGTTGGATCTAGATCACATTTCAGAAAGAAAGAAAGAAACTGTGAGGAGAAACGCTTTTTTTTGCTGTTGGTGTTTGGACTTCATTCACAGGGAGCATTTGATTTACCAGCATGAGTTATAATGTGCTGTAATTCATCAAACATGATCGGCACTAGACGTTTGTTCTGGATTTCTATTATCAAGAGTTTCATTCCAATTATTTAGAACATAAATAGTTTGTGGTTCAGGATTTATTTCTTCAAATGACTTGTTCAAGTTATTATGTTCAGCCAGTGGTTAGTTATAAAGCCCAACTTCTGTGGTTTGGGTGAAGAATTTCCAATAGCTGTATGTATAATATAATAAAGTTTGGTCATCATATCATTTCAGTCACTTTGTTTTCACGTCTAAAATGAAAAAGTAGATTTATGTAGAAAGAGGCAGATACGTTAGAAGTTCACAGAATTAGTTCAACAACTTCTCCATAATTCAACGGACAGATATTCTGATTACTCTCCTTTGATATTGTTATGATGTCAAAAGTTTTCTCTTTCATTCCGGCTGTAGTAGAAATACATTTACTTCAATTCCAATAAATCTGTCACTTGTAACATTTGAGGTAATACTGTCATTGTAAATCATAAGTAGAGATGTGACCAGGACATGGAGCTGACTTTAGAGAACAGGAGGAGCCAGCACTGAGGTCTCAGAGACGTATTCTCTCACATCTAGACTGATTCAAGGCTTTGGCATTGAGATCTACTTCAGCCATGGAAAAGATGAACAGATGGTGAAGAATGGCCTTGAGTCAAATTTGAAAATAACTGGCAGAGGGTTCTTCTTGATGACCTAGAAGAGCTCATGCAAATCAGGCACCTGTTCAGTAAAGATATTGTCTGCTTGTTTGTTTTTAGACATTTTATAAATGTTATAATCCGCTTTTCTTACAGTTTCAGTCCTTGAAGTTAACATGGATTACTTTCAGTAAACAGTGAAGCTACATGCAACTCAGCTCCTCCCTCAGTATTTGCTGTTCCGTGTTCCACCACATGATGCTCCTGCAAACATCTTTTTCTCAAACTGATGAGCAGATAAATGTCATATATTTGTTCAGGTAACCAAAAAAACATGCTTTTGAGAAGCTACCCACTAGAGGGCAGTCCAGTACTTAGCCCTGTGTACTCCAGCAGGGCTCGTTCAGTTTATCCAGCAGCTGCAGTGAATTCACAGGAGACCTTTTTATTTAGTCTGAGCAAGAGGCTGACTGCTGCTGATGTGATGACACACCAACAACTAATATAGGCAAACTATGTGGTGAAGGGACCAACCACCAAAGGAAAAAAGCCCGTCAACATATGTGAAAGTAGAATACACACATATGATTGTATGTTCCTCCTGAAGTTTGTTCATAAGTAACTTGGGATTTCACACAATAGGGGGATTGATGAGTTTCTTACAACAACATGTAATATAATACCCAAATGAATATAAATGACTTCTGAAATGAGTTTGGACTGAATGAAAGATGAAGTAAACTCTGATTAAACAACATCTTAAATGTGAATACTGAGAGTTTAACAAGATATAATAAAAAAGATTAAGAGTTATATTCATTTATGTTTCTGTTGTTTTCACTGTATATTGAGACAAAATACACAAATTAAATTTGGTTGAATAAAATCGATTTAAAAACACACTGGGGCTGAATGAAAGATGGTGTATCTGAAACTTCAACTCTGTTTACACAAATTAAATCTAGTTTAATGTGAATTACAAATTAAATCTAATAAATATATAAAATATGAACTAACTGATGGATAATGTATGAAGAACTTTAACTCTGTTTAAAACAGCTGCTCAGACGTGTATAATGAGTTCGATGTAATACTAATATTGTGATTCTTGTGTTTCCACGTGTATTATTTTACACATGTGATAGTTTGACATTTGATGATTTCGTCAGTGACGTAAAATCCCCAGCATCAGTTTTGTGTTTACATTTTGTCCGACTTATATGTGACGTGTGCGTGAGGAACTATATTCACCAAGTGTGAGGCCAGCCAATCATAATCGAGAATCCTGCGGAGTGATCGCAGACTTGCCGGCGGAGGAACATGCGGGTGCTTTCGCCGTATAAATACGCGGGTGCCCGCCTCCTCACGCTGACACTTCCGTGGTCGTCTCCGCTGGCTGTTAGTGATCTGACCTCCTCACCGTCTCCTCCGCGCCCTGACCTCTCTTCTCCTCCGCTCTCTGTCTCCTCTCCGCAGACACTCCCCGCCCCCCCCCACGACTACAATGGCTATTTAAAGGCGTGCGGCGGCTATTTTTGCAGCGGCATCAACCCGGCAGTGCAGCGGCGAAGTGCACCGGCATTTTGGCAAAATGGCGTAAGTACTTTTGTGTGATTCAAAGTGTTTATCTCCCGGGGACAGTGGGTGAAGCTGCCCCACACAGACTCATGGGAAGTGGTGTTCTCCCGGGAGTTATTGGGGGGGGGGGGAAACTTAACAGCTGATCCGGGGGGAAAGTGAATCTTTGTGTCGGTGTCTGGTTTCAGTGTCAGCTGGTGTTAACATCGCGCCACTCCGCCGCCTCCTCTTCGCTCTAAATGTTAAAACCGAGGCTCGTTAGCGGCTGTTTCCGGTCCCATTCAAACAACTCAGATGCAGATTAGTTAAAAACGCAATCGTCGCCAGTTGTTTCCCAGTTTACGTGGTTTTTTTCTACGCCGCTCGTGTTTGTGTTTTTTAAAAACTCTTTGACAACGTGGCGCGGCCAAAATGGCGCGGACTCTGTTGTGAAAATGGCGGATGTCCTCGCCCGAGGGCGTGGTTTCCGACCGAAACATGACCAAATTAGGAAATGTGTCCCCCCCCTGGCGGAGGGCGGGGCGTTTCTCCATATCAGTGGAACGGCTAAAATTAACCCCTCCCCCTCCAGAGAGGGTTATCAGTCGCGATGACGTCAGCGCACGCAAAAAAAAGGAAGTTTGCATGAGGGATGACGTGTAGTTGTAACCGGAAGTGCGGTTATACGTTTTTTTTAATTGAGACGTCAGAGCTCCTCGTGTTCGAGTTAATAATCATAATATTAGATTTTAAACATCACATGTATAAATTTAAAAAATGCTAAATCAAATACAACCAATGTGAACGCAACAAACACAGCATCAGATCACTAAAGAAGAAAACGTTAAACATGATAAATACTTAACATCGGGATAAAGAGATGGATAGTTTAGAGATTATTTAGAATTCAGGCTTTACGTCGTGAGAAAGCAACATTTATAAAGTGAGTGTGTTGCAAATTTAAAAAAGAGAGGGTAATGAGTTTACTGGACAGACGTGGCAGCGAGCGAGGCTGTGTGATTCTTGGTTTTCAGCCCAGAACGCAGCCCGGGGCCAAAAGTCAAAAGATCTGCGTGCAAGTCCAGAAGGAGCCGTAAAGGTCTGCAATAAAACCAAGACTGAAGCCGGTCTGCTGTGTTGTCAGCTCAGAGTGTCTCCACCAGCTTTAACCTCTTTAATCAATGTTATTCTCACTGTTCCTTACATCTTATCCTCATAACGTTATATGCATCTCTGTGTCCTTTACCCAGGTCTCTCTCGGCAACCACCCTCAGCTTTGCTGCCGTCGACAGCAGGACCGAACCCCTCGACTTATTAACGTCGCCGGACTCACCTTTGATTTTAATCACCCATTCACGGCTACCACTGACCAGCAGCAGCCATGACACTTTCGCAGTTGGCCTTGGAGGACGTGGGGGCCCTGTACTTAGGTTGGTGTTGGATCACAGATGTTACGCACACATGTTAAACCATCTGTTTATTGAGCTGTGGGATTGTGGATATGCTCTGAAACAGAGTCTGATACTTAACGAACGATTCCTTGTGCACAGAACCCTCGTTTCTGATGGCTGACCACATGGGGCCCCTTCTGGACCAAGATGAAGAAGAAGCTCTTTCTCCCTCCTCCTCTCTAGAGGGGAAGGCACCAGCTTCTCCCCCCCTCTCTTTCTCCTCCTATGCATCTTCCCTGTCTCCATATCAGACATTATCATCCTCTCCACCCCCCTCTCCTCCTCCTGCCCATCCCTCCTCGTTTCTGGGAACCAAGGCCGGAGTAGACTCCCTCCCCTGGCTGAGTGCCGACTGCCTGCTCGACACCCACATCAGAGCAGACGATGGCAAAGGTGAGGGTGACTTGAATCCTTTGAATCACTTCCAAACCAGAAGTAAATATTTAATTAAGTTATTTCTCCTCTTCTTCGTTTGGTTTGTTGGCAGGTGGCAATAATTGAAGTACCTAGTCACTTGCCACATTGTATTCATACAGGCAAAAAATTCTAATGTCAACTAGCACCAACATTTTGAACTGTAATTAGTAGGTTGGTAAATGATGAACAGGCTCAGGCTGTTTTTTTCCTTACTGTTCCTTCACACCCACGTTTACAGTAAAAGTAGAGGGAAGTTCTGAGTTCCTCGTGTTCTGAATGAACAATCTCGTTGGGGGTTGAGAAACTGATTTTAGTTTCAGGTCATCATTGAATAAACATTAAGACAGTTACATGTTTTCTTGATTTTTGATTAAATTGAAATCTTTGCTGTCAACAGATGATGCCTTTGCAGGCATGGAGTGGATGACAGAGAAAATTGACCTGAGTGAGTTTGACCTGGATTCCCTCATTGGCGTCTGCTCATCGGATGATTCTCCCAGTTCTCCTGAGGATCTCCTGGCCTCTCTTGACTCCCAGATGGATCTGGATCTCGACTCCTACGACTCAGGCGTCCCTGACTCTCCTGAGAGCCTGGAGCTCACCCTGTCATTGAGCGGTATCCCTGCCCTCCCTCTGGAGCTCCCTGCTCCTGTGGAAGCTGAGGCCAAGAAGATGGAGGTGACCCCTGATCAGGTTGTTATGAAGTCTGAGCCCCCCTCTCCGCCTCCTGCCTCTCCAGCATTCACATTCGAGCTAAGTGAAGTTGACGAGCTGGACAAAACAGCCACAACTGTCAGCGCCACCATCATCCAGGATCCAAGTGGAAGCATTCGGGCCACCAGCCCCATAATGGAATCCTTCCCCAACCCTGGTCACTTGTTGGTGGTCGCCAATAAAGAAGAGCCTGCCCTCGACTCTGTCCCTGAGCCATCGGTTAAATCCCCTTCTCCAACAAACGACTGTGATGTCGACTCTGGAATCGACTCACTTGCCGGCTCACCGCCTCGTCTCCCCTCTCCTCCTCCCACCCCCTCCTCTACAACCGGTTCCTCCAGGACAAAGCCCTACTCCAGGCCAGAGCCCACCGCCTCTTCCTCCCCCTCGGCTAAGGTCTCCAAGGTGAAGTCGGTGTCCGGCGCTCCCAAGGTGGTTGAGAAGAAACTGAAGAAGATGGAGCAGAACAAGACGGCAGCCACTCGCTACCGGCAGAAGAAGCGGGTGGAACATGAGCTGTTGTCCAGCGAGTGCGATGACCTGGAGAAAAGAAACAAAGAGTTGGAGGAGAAGGCAGAGTCTATAAGCCGTGAGATTCAGTATCTCAAAGATCTGATGGAGGAAGTTCGCAAGCGCCGCAACAAGAGCAGCTCTGCTGCGTAAACGAGGCTTTATCTGTGGTTCAGTCTCGCTGTGGCGATTAAAGAGATTAAAAGAAAGCGGCATGTGAGAGTAGACGAAACTTGCGGCTGAATGAGAAGTTTAGATCCTGTGGAGGTTGATAATTGTAGAGCAGGGGGCTGGGGGTCGTCTGGTGAAGCATCTGTACATGCTTGTCTCTCAGTCCCCTGTTTGATCCCCACACATGCTCCTGTCCCACCACCAGACAGTGTGTGTGTGTCTTTGTAGACCAGGCATGCAGAGGCGTCAGTCCGTAGAGCACCGTAGTGTTGTAGACTTGTGTCCGATTGATGAGAGATTCCTCGCACCAGTTGCTAGAACTGAAATTCTTAGCTTCAATAAAATGACTCCATGTTACCCACCCCTTTTTAATTCCCAGCGTCCCCCTGTTTTCTGACCTTCTTCTTAATAACTTCAAGTCCAGAAAGGGGCCTCGAGCCAATCTATGAATTCCTGATGTTAAACGATCAATATGTTTTCTTTTTCTTTCTGTATATAGTTTTCTCTTCTGCTCGCTGAAAGTGGCTTTTGTTATTTAAGGATAAAACCTGATCATATCTCAAGTAGCTCCGTCTGTTTTTGCAGGTGTTTGGTTTTGTAAAAATGCATTGCTCTTTTTTTTTTTTCTAATAAATCTCTATCTGTACGCAAGTGACATGTGTGTGTGATGTGTTTTTTCTAATGACACAAACATCCTCTCATGCCTGCAGAGGTGGTGAAGCTCTCACCTGGACATTTAATGTCTGTAAATCTAATTTCAAGTGGTTGAATTCCATTTAGCTGCTTTTAAGTGAATGAAAACAGTTTTACTAAAGCTTGACACGGCAGTTAGTGTTTTTCTTAGTGTACAAGGGGATCAAATTTAATCAACCGCACAAACAAAATTCAATATGTAGTCTTGGGTGTTTAGTTATCACTAAAGTTTATCACAACTTCATGAGCAGGCCTGTATTTTCAAATAAAGTTGAGATAACTTGTTTCTGATTCAGTTAAGTAGAAATTTAATAAAGTTTACACAACTGAAATGTGATTAAATGTTGTAGTGGTCACATAGAGCCTAGCAAAGATGTACTGGACTAGTATTATACTACTAGCAGCAGTATTTACATGTATGGGTCACAGAGTTCTTGTCTCTAAGCTCAGTTTGCTGAGTCATAGAAAATAAACACCCCTGATAGGCAGCTGGTTCCAGGAGGAGGGAGTGGACACTTCACATCAGTTTAAGAAGAAACACCAAAAATATAGCGGCAGTTTCAAAATTAGTTAAATTCTGTCTGGATATTCTGAGCGGTTCATCTTAAATATAACTCACAGAGATGTTTCTCAGTTAGATTTTTGACATTTTGTGAATATTTTAAACTTATTTCTCGAGTTACAACGCAGCAGCTCACAAAGTACAGAAGAATTTTACCTCTGGGCATAAGCGAAAATAAACATGTCCAAATAATGACATTTCAAGTCCTGACACTGATCGTTACCATGTGTTCATGTGATGAAAGAAAGAATGTCCCTGTCCGTTTGTTGGATCGACTTCTCAACAGTTCATCTTTATTCTCGATTCCTGCAGAAATTAGAAAAAAACATCTTTTCGTCTGATGTAAGTTTTCACTTTTTTGCTCAACAGTTTCAACTTCAGCCTCGTAATGAAAACGTAAACTAAATAAAGTGGCTCATAGTCTGCATGTGCAGATATATACTCCCGAGGTTTAACCTGAAAGACAAGTTCAGACCAGTCAACTGAATCCTGCGTCTCTACCTGGAGCTTTCAGTCAGGAAATGAGAGACTGAGAGACTGAGAGAGGAAACAGAGCGAGACACAGCTGGGCCAGTGTTTTTTACGGGAAGGTCTTTCCTTGTAATTGTGAAAACAGAAAACACTCACCAGTGTCTCACACGGGGGGGTTTCACAGGTGGACGATAGAGGGGAGGGGGAGGGTGGAGGCACAGATGTCTCAGTTTGTGTGTGTGTGTGTGTGTGTGCAGATATCTGTGTGTGGATATATCTTGAGGACATCTTGGGGAATCATGGGTCGGTCCTGAGTTAGGTCTCGGTTAGGGTTGGACATTAGTTGTGATAGTTAAGGGATCATGTTTTGGTTGGGCTGTGCGTAATGAATGGAAGTCTCTGTGCTGCCTGTGGATGGTTGTGTAAACTTGTGTGTTGGCATTTTGCACTTCAGAGCCGTTGCCTGTTTAGTCACTGCTTCACAAAACTTTGCACAACGTTCAACATATCCTTAGTTTACTAGTTTTAATCGTAACAACATTAAAATGAGGTTCAGATTTAAGTTTGGCCTCTTGGGACTGAATGAAGTGGACGTAGTATCTGACTGTGATGCGAACGTGTGTGTATGAGCTCAATGTGCTGACTTGTGTTGAGCAGCTGTGTAAATTTAGTCCTGGCAGTAAAGACACACACACACACACACACCAACACGTACACACATTCACACACACACCCACACACACACCTCCCTGACAGATTCTTCAGAAGTGAGGCCTTGCCCTCTTGGGAAGACTCAGATAAGAAGAGCTGACTGAGCCGTCGACCTGAAGCAGAAGCGATAACACGCCACGCTTTGTTTTGACTTTGATATTTAGGTCACAACTGAGTTACCTGGGAGCTCAGCACATGTTAATCCACATGATTCATATAAGTGGCCACATGCTTTGTAATGTTAAAAGGAAAGTAAAGCGTGAACACATTTCTTTTAAACGATTCATTATAATTAAGAATAATTCAATGATTATAAATGTAAAATGATGTCATAAAACTGTAGGTATTATTTCCCGCTGTAATTCAATTTAAACGTTCTCCTTTTTTATCATCTGAATAGCCTTAACATGGCACTGGACCAGAATGGCACTTAGTGGAAATTATTTTCATTTGGATCCCCACAAAATTACACCAATACCAGTACCATCAAGTTTCCCACAGAATTCTTTGAGAAACAAAAATGTTCGATCTTGCAATATTAAAGAAAATATCCCTGATCCAGAAAATCCTTTAATTACAGCCTGTGAAGATTTTTCCTTTTTTTTTTTTTACTGGTAGAATAAAAATACATTTCTGATTTTCCATAACTTTGCTCTGCTGTTTGTGGATCTTCAAAACTTCATGTCGTCTGTGCTCAGAGGTTGAATTGCAGTATTGTCCTCCTCCTGCCCCGGCTGATGACGTCTAACACATTATTACATGACTGACTGTGTGAGAACATGCTTCTCATGTGTTTCATCCCCACGTGAGACGAGTGACCTCAAGAATCCAGAGTACGACCGAGGTTCAGATTCAGAGTCCGGTCTCTGTAGCAGACGCTTCAAACATGCAGCTCACTCGCAGAGAGAAGTTTGTTTTAGCACAAAGGTCTAATTAAAAAGAATTAAAAAGTTTGATTGATTCCTCGTGTCAGTGGATCGTGGGTGTGGCGGCTCCGAGCAGAGCAGCTCTTATTCTGGTCTAACGTTAGCTTGATGTCGCCTCACACAATTAAACAGAGACGGTGCAGGGACAGAACCTGTGCGTGTTTGTGTGCAGTCATGTGTCTCAGGTCAGGAGGTTTTCACCACTGAGTGGTTTGGAACCAGGACACAACAGGCTGCTTTGTAGTGAGGAAAGTTAAAAGAGGAAACCTCTGCACTGAGAGAAGCTCGAGGGAGATACACGAGGAACTGAATTAACATTCCTGGCTCTCTCTCTCAGTGACACTTGGGTTTTGTCGTAAAACTGATGGACAGTTTGTCCGTTCTCTTATTGCTATGAATTACAGTTTGTTTATAAATATAGACG